CCCCAAAACCCCAAAACCCCAAAACCCCGAGTTAATTGTAATATATTGAGGTAAAAATAAGAAAATATTAATGCTAATACTCTCTTTTTTTGACTTCGACTTTGTTTGGGAAGTCTACCCTGCTTCTCCTAAACCTCTCCAGCCCCTGCAGTTTTGAAGTTCTTGGAGGGTCCATCATTTCAGCGTTGCTCTTGCTGATGTTGGAATTTGGCCTGATCATTGAGCCGACCACTGAGTTGCCATCTTCAAAGTTGTGTTTTCTCTCTTCGTGATTTTGTCTGAATTCATCAAATTCTTGAGCATCTTGAATATCTTGTTCAGACTCTTGACGATTTTGCTGTTCGTTAGCTCAGACATTCTTCGGAGCAACATTTGCGGATGGCCTCGCTCGCTTCATCTTTCTGACGCAAACGAGTATTGTTTTGGCCAAGAACATCAAGCAAATAAAACTCACTATCAGTGGAGACACCATGAAAACTGAAGTGTAGTAGCGTTCATAAAATGGGGTCCAGTCTGGCTCAGTGCGCAATCACATCAGCGGAACTGCTAGTCAGCAAAACAGCGTCTGATTGACAATTTCGATGAGGTTGTCTTGAGGATTTGTGAATGGCCTGACAATCAGCAAGTACAGTCAGTAGCCAATGTTCGACAAATAGAAGTATGTGGGTGTTTGAGAACCAAGTGTGGATTTGCCGCATGCTGCCAAGAAACTTCAGAACACCCTCAATAACATAAACAAGCATGAGTAGAGCTTCGCAAACTTTGTGGGTTTAACTCCATTGAAATACTCCATGCATGATTGATACTTTAGCGATTCAGAATCGGAGAATGACTTAGAATACATGTAAAGAGAAGACAGCACAAAAAGTATTCAGCAAACTCCAAACACAATTCAAACGGCAAAGGAAACTTGAGTCGGAGTTGTTTGAAGTTTCTGAGCATGTAGCTCAGACAGAATTCACAGTGAAATAAACATAAATGATTGAATAAGTATTCTGATATATATGTTGAATGTGAAATAGCGAAATAGTTTTTTGCATATTTTTGTGCATCGCTTGTTCTCAGACTTGCTCCCTCATTTGTGTAATAAAGTTATCCAGAAATGGATGATTCAGATTAGAAAAATAGTTCCTAAAATTGACAGCAAGTTCACCAATGAGCTACCTGAGCTCATCCCGAGTGTCACGAAATACTCATTTGTTTGTGGATATGCCATCCAGTTCGAAACAGCTTCAACAAACGGAATGCTTCTGAGACTCATAAAGTCGAACGAGAATGTTGAGAACCCCATTCCATTGATCAGATCAGACACTTTCTGTGGAAAATACTCTGGGACCGCAGGCAGCAATATTGCAAGCTGTAGACTGTTCATGGTACTGAAGATCGAGTTGACCGATGACAGTGACAACAACGATGAAGCACTTGCAATGATTGCGCCTGAGGCTACCAATGCAGTTGAAGCTGTAGCAACTTGGGCTTCAACTTCTTGTTCGGCGATTGGAGTCTCTGATCAAGACTGTTGGTTCTCAGACACTTGGAAATTGGATTCTCAAGTCTGTCACAAACTTGTGTTTCCGAGTTGTCAAGTTGTGCAGTGTTGGATGTTGCACTCTTCGACAGTGATCTCAAACTGTTTGTAGTGGACTTCACTGTCGAATGCAATTTTAAGCGAAAAGTAGTAAGTAGTTTCTTCAGAAAGTTAGGGAGTCATGTTGAGGTACAGTTCTTGCTTAACCACATTTGTTTGCACCCACTTCGGAATATAATGAGACCCAGTTTGTGCCAGGCTAAACGAAATGTCTGTGTAGTTCACAGGCTGGGCTCAGGCCCAAGTGAAGTCAACTTTGACCAGAGAGTTGCTCTGAACAGACTGGACATGGTCGTCATTCCATAGAGCAACATAAGTAGTGAATGAAGGAGTAGTCGTCGATGTGATGTCTGTGGCTGTCACTGTAGATGAACTTGATATGATAAGGGTCATTGTGCTAGAAGTCAAGGTAGGGCTTGAGTTTGTTGAAGAGACTTGGTAATTGGATGAAATTTGGGTGAAGAGAGGAGTATCCTGCTGAAATTCTGAGAGCTGGTCAATATTGTTTGTAGGAGTTCTTGCAAAGAACAATGTAGAATTAGAACTATATTGTCCTCAATGATACATGAACTCTACTCCTTTACTTATTACCCTTCCAACTCCATAAGATAATGAATCAATAGATTTAAACTCCTTTAACACATTTATTTCATCAATATCGATCAAAATAAGTCTTTTGTAGTTTGCCAAAACACTACTACGAATTTGGACAACAACAAAATTATTGAATTCTTTTATGGAATAGCTGTCATAGAAACCACTATCGCTCCAGATCAAGCCAGGGGTTTGAGGAGATCCATCAGTAGTATTTAGCTTATAAAATAAGAAATTTGAATCATATAAAATCATTGTATATATTGAACTCTCATCTTTGTTTAAAATAGAAGAGCTTGCTTTATTTATTCAACCTGTTGTTGGGCAACCTATGCTCTTCTTCCAAACCAAGTTTATAACATCCGAGAAGTTATAAGCAATTAGATAGTACTGATCTAAAGCTGTATCAGGTGATCCTATGAACAAGAGCTCATCATTGATTGGCATAAAATTTGCATGCTTACCCACCCCAAAATTTAATCAGTCAAGATTAGTAGTCCCAACATCCCACTTACAAGTTTCCATTACTGAGGAAATCCTGAAACTCGCGTATAAAAATTCCTTAAAAACACAATTTCCATCAAAATGAATAACCCCTGAAATAACTGACAGCTCTTTGGTTATTGCAAGGTTGCTAGTTTGGATCTCATATATTTTAGAATTATCTAGATCTTGGATATAAATAAACCCCCGTTCTGAATCAATAGCTCCTGAACGGTACAATCAATAAAAATCATAAGTCATCACTCTCACAACCCCAAACCTATAATCCGACTGAAAAACCACAGTTTTATTTAATCCCCTGCTTAAAATATCCAATAAAGTTCAGCACTTCTCTTCCTTTATCCTCAAGTACATCCAGCAAGTACGAATAACTCGCTCCAGGTATCCCAAACACCCCTACCACTGCTGCTCCCATTTTCTGTTCATCCGTCTCACACAGATTTGCTCTTAAGACCTCTAGCAGTAACAGCACAAGTACAAAAATCTTCATTTTTCCAAAAATAATCAACAATCCCTCCTCCACTCGGGGTTTTGGGGTTTTGGGGTTTTGGGGTTTTGGGG